CTTATATAGCGCATATTGTAGGGACCTCTATGCGCTTACATTATTACCCCCGGATCAGTGGATCAAGCACATATGGAACACACACTCAAACCCCATAGAGGAATTCCATAATGTTGCAGTTATTCAGCGCAGGCTGTGCTTGAACCTACCAGGTACCCACTTGTAATCCTGGGTGGAGAGAGACAATGTAGCTAAAGTATGTTGCCTAAGGACACAAGCAATGCGACAACCGTCGGTTTCAAACTCCTGATCCCGCGATCAGAAGTTCAACGCCTTACATGCTACACCACACACCCCACAGATTGCCACTAGGGAATAAACCTTTCTCTACTCTTATTTTTTTAGTGCCCTTATTTTTTGACTTTCAAAAGCCTCCATAGCTAGGTGCCTAGGCCTACTAAAGGGTGTTCCCTTCCCTTTGATGTTCGAGTAAACTCTGGTTTCTTCACCAGAATATTGTTTTGTCTAGGCCATTGAATCGTTGCGCAATTGTTCAAATGCATCTGCCACCTAACGATTGTCATTTTCATTCTGTTCATGCTCACGGGAATCCCCAGGTATAATCCCACCCCCCGAAATGGGGCTAATTTCGCATTCATGGGGCGAGGATGTAGGATGATACACGGGGAACTACAGTACTTGTTAAATTAGAAATGAAAAGATAGCTGAAGACTTCACCAAGGCTAGGCCCCAAATAGCCCCAGGCTCCCACCATTGGGGTTTCTGCAACTACTTCTGGGCCCAACTATCGTAAAGTCTGTATTTGCTGCTTCTTTATTGAAGTGATTCTCAAATTTTCTATTCCTAAACATGAAAATGATGTATACAGTGTGGAAATGTACTGACCATTGAGCTGATTAGAGCAGACATTCTAATAATTCGTGACAGGCGTGTTTAACTGAAGCCAGCCAATTTCAAGTCTGGACAATACCAACCCCGGGGTCCTTTAATATCATATGAATTAATTTCTTATGGAGTATGAGATGTAATACAGATGGCTTTGATGATAAGTACTCTTACAGCAAGATTTCACCCTCCCTCTGCCAATATTTTCTTTGACTGCCTGTCAATTTTTGAGTGCTGATTTTCTAGTGGGATTTAGACAACATATCTTAATGATATTCAGGGCTTGCGGAGTTCATAAACATTTTTTTAATGTTATGATCCAAAGATCCTGTTATTTTATACTTAAACAAAAAATGATTGAATATTTTAAACATGCTTCATTAAAAGTGTTAGCACAAAAGAGGAAGTATTGGATTACCAACCCATTTTAAAGTGAACCTTAAAAGTTAAAATCAATGTGACGTTTGTTCTCAATCATAGGTAATTTGATAAAGTAAAATTAACAGTGGCTTTGCTTACGCCAATTTTTTGAACATGTGCAAATCGGCATGTTACTTACAGGCTATGTGTATGTAGAATCTTTAGCAAAATTACGACAATATTAGAGTCAACAGGTTTACCTGTGTTATATTAACTTCAGGTTAACTTGAAATTTACCACCAAGAGTTCGCCTACCCACTTACCGGTACATTTTGTCCATTCCCTGTGTTTGTTAATCAAAAGCAGGGAGTACAGTATGTAACATTTATTATAATCACCCACATCAATAATGTTCTTATGCCAACTTAGTAAAACATTTGTTTGGGCCATCACACCATAAAAACTGATTTGTTATTATTCTTTAACATATTAATA